CAATGTGCTCGGCTCTCACAAAACTCTGTCAACCTGAAAATAAACCAGGAAGTGCAACTTGATAAAGTTTGGCATCATGCTGAAAACCACGTGTAAGAAATAAATTAGACCTGCAGGTTAGAGGTGGGAATCACCATACATCCCACGATACGATATTATTAAAATATCACGATGCTACATAGTATCCATTTTTCCCCCACCCCTACTGCAGGTCAAATCTGCTGTCACAGACTTCAGGTTAAGGTTGACGTAAACTGTTCCTGTCTTTAATCACCTTGAGAAGGTGACTCAGATTTCCCAAAGTGAACTCTCTGCAATCCGGTACGGGCTAGAAAAAGCTGGAGTGACTGACGCTTGGAACAGTCACTCCAGCTTCCCCCTCATCCTTTTACTTTCAGATTAGTCCCAGCTTCAAGCTTATCTTTTGTTTACAATATTAAAGACCCCTGTTGACGGGCAAATAGCATCTTAATTGTTTTAACTGAGTTAATTTGTTGTTTTAATTACTTCTTAATAGCTTAATTTCTTTGGACTGTTGTCTGATTTTGTGCAGCCCCTCAGACAGCATTTGCTGTGTTTCATGCTCCGCACGAATAAACAGACCTGACTTGAGCTACTGCAGCCACCGGCGCTTGGCAGAGGGAGGGAAGTGCCAGGAGAGGTTGGCCTTTATCACAAAATTAAGAGCTGCTTCATTTCCTTAAGAATGAGGACAAGGTGGTGAGGTATCGAGAAGCTGCACCAATGAGAGTAGATTTTCATACATTAAGCAACACGCCGACTTCCCCTTCTTTATCCCTGCACCCCCCTCTCTCTTTTGTAAAGCCTTTAAAAAGTACAACCAAGAGAGAAGACGACATCTGACCACTTCACCTTTTCCCTCACGATATTGGAATCCTTTCGTCGGGAAGGGCAAGTGACCGCCTTTCTCAAAGAGCTCCCTCCTTGTCTGGTGTGTCTGAAGACCAGAGGCAAACTTCAAAGACCCCAGAGACTCCGAAGTGCCAGGAGGTGAGGAGGCACTCTTCCTTGACACAGAGTCTTTGTTTACACAAAGGTCATTGGAGATGAGACAATTTAATGAGTAAAAGCTGTCGATACCTGCGCGTGCTCAGTGGGAGGAGCTACAGCGTACAACTCCAGACATTATTTCAATGGCTGTTTGATGCAGGCCGCACAGAGGCTGGAAAAGGTGATTAGAGATGG